AAATAAAAATCATTTAGTTCATGTAAATATATTTATTTGATAGTAATCTAATTGAGTATTTGAATCAAATAAATTTTTTTTTCAGTGTATAATTCCTATACTGGTTTTTTCTGTGAAATTTGGTTTGCAATTTTTTATAAGAAGTTATTCAAAAGAAAAATTAGTTTTATTGAAACTTTAACTATATATATATATATATATATATATATATCGTAAATTGAAAGAATATATCAGCCCAATGAAAATGCGAATTAATTGAAAAATGAACATAAGGAACTTTGCAAAAGTAAAGTTCACGTGAAGAATTTTTAAGTAGCAAAACGTGAATGTTGAATCAATTCAGCGCCATCCTTACGGTTTTCTGCAGTCTACATGAATGGCTGTCGCGTGCGTAGCTTTCAACGGAATGAAAAGAAGCGACTGGAGTGGAAAAAGAGGTCTTTCCAAGGCTTCGTTTGTTTGAGTCTTGCGCGAGGATGACTCCTTAATTATAATTCTCGTCTCGTTGCAGGATTTCAAGAGAGGGTTGGGAGGGGGGGGGGGGTGAAGAGAGTCTTCAGCGAATGTATACCTTGGCCCCTTTTTTTTTGTCATTTTGATCGGGATCTGACTCTGTAAGTTCTGTCGTCATAATGGCGACAAATATTAATTAGTTATATATAAAGTTCAACTCTTGTGGATTCATACATGATCTTTCTCTTCTTTTCTTCTATCTCTCTCTCTCTTACTCTCAAGTATTTATACTGATTCCGCGATAAATTGTCTCGTGGATAATTAAATCGCAGGGCTGTTAAACTTGACACGTGGCTAGAAAAGACTGGTTTTGTTGACCAAAGAAAGATATGTCAGTGACTTTAAAAAGACAACGAAATCAAGTTATATATATATATATATATACACATGATGGGCTAGTGTGGTATAAGGACTTAATTTTCTCCCCATGAGCACTTTACGAAACGAACATTTATCTTCGTATTTCTTTCCTTCAATTAAGATAAGATAATAAAAAATCGCATCTTGAATAAATTGTTGCGCCTCATTATTATTTAGAAAAAAGGAATTGATTATTTTTTATTTGAAAATGTTTAGGTTCTTTAATTATAGCATTTTTAATGTAAAAACGATTTTTTTTCCTATATAAACTGAAAAAATTTATTTTATTCAAATAATCAAATAAATATTTAGTTGAACCTTATAAGTTTTATTTGAACTAATAATTACTGTATTTGAAAAAAATACCGTCACAAATAATAATTATTTGATAATATTAACCGATTATTAAAATCAAATAAATTTTTTTTCAGTGTATTTAAAGAGAGTAGAAAAATACTTTATGCATACTTTATTTGCGGTTATTTAAAGTTCTGTGGTGATTTAATCGAAAATTATATAAAAATTTAAATCCCGGATACTGCATTATTTTTAGAATAACGAACCACCTGTGTATATACATATATAATCTTTCATGATCGCAACAATGAGGAACATCGCAATGATGTCTAACCCCTAAAACTCATCAGGTTGGGATTTCCTGTAGGAAACATTAAAAAGTTAAAAGGGGCGGCCCCGGTAGAGCGTGACTGCATTTGGTGTGCCACTATATATGTTGGTTTTACTGATATATATATATATATATATACGTTTCACAAACGCTATATATTTGCTAAATGGTACGAAAAAGTTCTATTTTTTCTTTCCCTCGCTTTTTTTTCTGCACAAAGGCACGCTCGATTAAACGCGATATATTTGATTTAACGAGATTTATCAAGAAAAACCTTTTTTTTTAAATAGGTGTACACATGAACGGGTTCTGACAAAATTTCCCTGTATATTTATTAGAGAGAAGAAAAAAGTACGTGTTTTCAAAAAATTTTATTTTAAATGAAAAAAAAAATGCTAATTGATATATTAATATAATTGAAAGAATATGTATATTATTAAAAAATTAAATAATTAATAAAAATAAATTATTTTAGAAAATTTAAAATAGTAAAGAAAAAAATCAGGAAGAAATCATATAAAGAAACGATTATTTATAGTTGTTGAAACGTAAATTATTGTTTAAATAGTTGTATAGAATAGAGAAAACGAGGAAATAGAATCGGGTATTTCCAGCGAATCTCCGTCATGGAACGATGCTTGTCAGGACATGACAGACATCCGCTTTTGATTTCTATATCGACGAACAGGTGGCCTCGACCTCCCCACTCGTCGACACTGACTATTTCCGGTCACTAAGTTCCCTCAAAGATTTGCATTTGCATGGACTTGCACTTGTCACAAAATTACATGACGTAAGGTGCTTTAAGTGTATAAAAAAAAGGCGACTATTTTTTTTTAACAACGGACTTTTTTTTATTAAAATATAATTTTTTTCTCTCTTCAATTTAAGAATTTTTTTTTTTTATTCGGGTTCCGTGGACCAGACCCGAAAGACTGGTTTCGCTTTTGTGTCCGTCTGTCCGTCCGTCGTACACTCGTATGGTGACAGTTACTATATAGCAACCGTCCCATGGCAACCGATTCCATGACAAACTTTTCCATAGCAACAGATATCATAGAAACAGTTATCAAAGCAACCGTTCCATGGCAACTGTTTCCATAGCAACCGTTCCATGGCAACCGTTTCCATAGCAACAGTTATCATAGCAACCGTTTCCATAGCAAAAGTTATCATAGCAACCGTTTCCATAGCAACAGTTATCATAGCAACCGTTTCCATAGCAACAGTTACCATAATAACCGTTTCCATAGCAAAAGTTATCATAACAACACTTATCAAAGCAACAGTTACCATAACAACTGTTTCCATAGCCACAGTTATCATAGCAACTGTTTCCATAGCAACCGTTCCATGGCAACCGTTTCCAAAGCAACAGTTATCGAAGCGACAGTTACCATAGCAACTGTTTCCATAGCAACAGTTATCAAAGCAACAGTTAGTATAGCAAACTTTTTCATAGCAACAGTTACCATAGTAACCGTTCCATGGCAACAGTTATTAAAGCAACAGTTACCATAACAAATGTTTCCATAGCCACAGTTATCATAGCAACTGTTTCCATAGCAACAGTTATCATAGCAACTGTTTCCATAGCAACAGTTATCAAAGCAACTGTTTCCATAGCAACCGTTCCATGGCAACCGTTTCCAAAGCAACAGTTATCGAAGCGACAGTTACCATAGCAACTGTTTCCATAGCAACAGTTATCAAAGCAACAGTTAGTATAGCAAACTTTTTCATAGCAACAGTTACCATAGTAACCGTTCCATGGCAACAGTTATTAAAGCAACAGTTACCATAACAACCGTTTCCATAGCAAAAGTTATCATAGCAACAGTTATCAAAGCAACAGTTACCATAACAACTGTTTCTATAGCAACAGTTATCACAGCAACTGTTTCCATAGAAACCGTTCCATAGCAAAAGTTATCGAAGCAACAGTCACCATAGCAACTGTTTCCATAGCAACAGTTATCAAAGCAACAGTTAGTATAGCAAACGCTTTCATAGCAACAGTTATCATAGCAACAGTTACCATAGCAACCGTTCCATGGCAACCGTTTCCATGGTAACAGTTATCATAGCAACCGTTTCCATAACAACAGTTATCATAGCAACTGCTCCATGGCAACCGTTTCCATGACCTTTTTTCCTTAGCAACGGAAATAATATTTGGTACGAAACCCTACGATGTGGGCGCCATGCTGCTCTCATATTTATTAATTGTAAATACAAATTAAGATTTTCCATCTTAAAATGAAAATATTGCTTCTAATTAATCTCTGATTTACCTTATGAACATTAATATATTAAACTACCGCTTGAATGAACAATTTTAGATAAAACTGATTGTGAAATAAAAAGTATCATATATATATTTAATAACCTAATAATTCAACTGTCAAAATTCTTATTTATATTTTATATAGCGTATAACTTAATTATATCAGGACAATTTAAAAAAAATTACATTTATATATATATAGATAGGAAACTGATATCCAAGGTCATTATCGAAATGCAAAATAATCTCGATCTGCAAAAAAAAAGATATACATACACCGCAAAGAGAACTTCATTGTATAGAAATTGAAAAATGTTTCCAATCAAGAATTTCGCGCGTGGCTGTCAACTCTCGTTTGATGGATCGATTCAAAGTTCGAAGTACATATTGTCGATTGGTTGGAAATTGTGTGTGTGTGTGAGAGAGAGAGAGAGAAAGAAGGAGAGCAGGTCCTCTATGCGAATATTAATGACTCAGTATAACGTTGGAAAGTAATTATATCCGATGGTAGAAGACGCTAATATGTGAATTAAAAGCTGGTCGTCGTAAGGTTGAGGGTGAATAACGATTCGCCAATTAAGCTCTTGGACCGATCCAGAATTGAGCAATTAAAGAACAAATTCTTTCCCCTTGCATGAATATAATCAACGCGCGATTCGATTCAAGATCCCATAAATCATCTGCGTAAACGCCGCGTCGAGGGGACAAAAGTCTATATACTGTACAAAATTAAGAGCGATGCTTTACATTCAAAAAATAAACGAATCTTGATTGTAAAATTACTTTTTATAATTTTTAATACAAAGTCTTTTTTGGGAAATTCAATTTTTATTTCTTATTAAATTCTTATTATATTAAATTTTTTATTAATCTGTATTGTGAAGAGGAATTTAATTTTAGAAGAAAAACTCCCTTTTTTTTGTCAGAATTAAGAAATTAAAAGTAATGTTGAAATTAAGCATGGAAAAAATATTTATACCTAAAACATGTAAAATTTTTGCAACTACAGTAAAACATTTGGCTGTTCCAAGTAATTCTTTCTTTTCCTGAGGGAAATGTTTTCATTGATTAGAGGAAAATTGTCCAATAGTCAATTTCTGGGGGTATTTCTTTATACGTATTTTCTTCTATTGTTATATTTTCTCATTCATCGTTTTTTCGATTAGTTGAACTAGCCAGTAGAGCATAGTTCCGGAAGAGGCAAAGTTCGCTATGTATATAATATACGCCGTCACAGTGGCGCACGCACCCACGATCTTTCGAACTCGTAATACAAAGAGGACGACTCGAGAAATAGCTTTGCCGCACGACGAACAATTAACCCCACTTGAGGGTGCTCAACGTATGTTAAAAGCGCGGTCAAACTCGTGAGCCCAGAGCAATATGGGGTCAAAATCTTTAAGAACCTGTAAAAAATAAGACAAAAAAAAACCAAAAAAAATTCCCCCTTGAGAAAATTAAGTCAAGTATTCGCAATTATTTTAACTCGTGATGTCATTCGCGAGAAATTTCTACATGTCGAGAATTACTTTCTTCAATATTTTTCTAATTATTTTATTATAATTTGTTTTCTGATGTTATTTTACAAAGAAAAAAAAAATTTTTCAAAAAGAAGTAAAAGTTAAGAAAATATTGTGGAAAGTTTTCTTGCAAAATTAATATCAGGAGAGTAAAAATTGTGGAAGTCTATTTACTTTACTTGAGATAATTTTTTCTTTTTATGTGTGCGTGTGTTGTTTTTTTTCAATCTTTCTTTCTTTCTTTCTTTCAAATTTATCATCCGCATGTTCCCCCTTCTTTTGAAAAGTTATTTGTTGAACTCGATCGAGTGACGGTATAAAAAGACATGCACGAGACTTATCAATGCGGCTGATAATTTCAGACGCACACGTGCTCCTTTTGACGCAGGCCTCGTGCAAACGATCGCAAAATTATCAAAACCCCACACGTAGTGTTGTACTCGATTTATCTTACGATGCGTAAACACTTGCTTTTAAGTGTACATACCCATTAAACAATAACCTACAGTTGGCCTGGAAACCAGAAAAGCCAGGCTATCATCCCCGGTTTTAAATATACAATATATATATATAGAGAGAACATCAGTTCCCCGCATGTTCGTCGTGCTGCCGTTTCTCAACACTCTCGCGATTATATTCAACTTCTCGAGATCAAATCATTTCGCGATCGTTACATTATGTCTGATCTACACCAACGATCAAGCATTATGTTTGAAATCTTTGAAAATTCCCAAGAATCCAGGAAATGATAATAAATTTTGCTACCTTTCAGTGTGCGATATGATCAGAAAATAGGTCAGGATTTATATTATATGAACATTACGTAAAACATTCACGTGATATATATTCGCAATGAAAATTTATTTCAGGCTGCGATGTAAAGTCGGATATAAAAATTCGAGGGGAAATAAAATTATTATATTAAAAATAATTTTCAATTTAAACATTTTTGAAGTTTGGTATAATTCTTTGACAGCATGGAAAAAATACTCGAATTCTATGCAAAAAGGAAATTTTGTATATAAAAAGAGTAAAAAATTATATATGGAAATTAAAAATAACTATGCTTACATAGTAGAAACTCTAACTTTGAAAATTTACTTGACGTTGATATTAAAATTTGCGTTACACTTGGAGAAATTTAAAATACATGATGTGATTTTGTGCTTTTTAAATTTAACAATTTTAATTATACATACTTTCGTATAAAATGCGGTTTACAAACAATAAAATAAATTGGATAAATTTTTCCAGGGACCAGATCGGGGCCGGATCAGGCTGCCCTATTAGGGAATAAAACCCCGCGCCTGATGTGGCCCGGATTAGGAAATCCACATTTTCTGGTTGCCCTGATTTGGCCCTGACCAAATGTGGCGTTTCATTCCCAACTAGGGCCCTGATAGGGCAATTTCTACACGGGTCCTTGATGAGAAAAATCTTATCTTTTTTTGATGAAAAAATACACGGAAAAAAATTTCTTATGTTATGTTTAGAATCTCATGGACAAACTGCAGTTGTAGTCTCTACAAAACAGATGATTTCGGGAAATACACAAATCAAACTTGTGAGCAGAACAAAATTTTTTGTGTACGCGAAAATTTTTTGTGAAAAAAAACCGATTATTGTTTTGTAATTTGCCTTGTTGGAAACACTATTTTCTTTGTTTACAGCAGTTTTTTTTTACAATTTGTGACGCGTCGCGAAGAAAGCGACCTTAGAAGCAAACGAATTATATAGGTTATGTTTATGACAGTTTTACCATAATTAAAAGTTTCTTTTCGTTGCTGTATGATTAAAATCTGCCCGTGTAGAAATTGCCACTTTTCATCCCGATTACCGACCTGGCCCTGATCCGTTTTCCTGTTCTGGCCCCGGGTTAGTAAATTACTATGGGCCTGACCAGGGCCAGGCCTGGTTGCCATTTGTAAAATTTGTAAAAAACTAGTGAAAATGCATTTATAGCATTTTATGACATTTTTTACTCTCTAAATCTGAATTAGTAAAAATGTTTACTAATTTGAATTAGTGACTTACTTTTTGCTTATGAACACAGAAAATTAAAAGGCATTAAAATAAGCTGCAACGCTTCTTATTTTAATCCAATTTTGCTTATTTTAATACCAAAATGGATTAAAATAAGCAAAATTGGATTAAAATAAGAAGCGTTGCAGCTTATTTTAATGCCTTTTAAATTTCTGTGAATTAGTAAAATTTTACTAATTATTAGTAACTTTTACTAACGATTAGTAAAATCTAACTAATTCTAAAGCAAAGGTGAGTCTCTCTTAAATTTTACTAACACTGTAAAAAGAAAGTACTAAAACAGTACCGGTTTTTTGGTATCAAAATAGAACCAAATGACAATTTCGTACCTGAAGTCGGTATTAAATTAATACCTTTCTTTCTTACAGTGAATTGTTAGTAATAGTTACTAATAATTAGTAAAATTTTACTAATTCATAAGCAAAAAGTGAGTCACTAATTTAAATTACTAAACATTTTTACTAATTCAGATTTAGAGAGTAAACGAAACAATTATTCAAATAATTTTTTTCAACTTTTATTTCATTTTCATTTTATAAGGTGTTTTTTTTAAATGCAGGTTCATAAAATAAAATAATATTGATTAATTTTATTGTTTTCTTTATCAATTAGAGATAAATAATTATAATTTATTGAAAATTACAATTACTATAAGATCGGGCAAATTACCATGGCCCTGGTCGGGTCCCGACCAGGATTCCAGATCAGGAAAATTGGCATGGGTTCCCTGTTTCATTTCGATCGGGCCCAGATCAGTTTGCCAGATCTGGCCCCGGTCGTGCCTGGTCTGGGCCTGACCAGGGCCCGGTCAAATTTTCTTCACGAGTGATGATGCTTAAAAATCATTGGTTTGCATTAAGATTTAATTTTCTTTGTGTATTTACACTTGAAAATTTTTTCCTTCTAAGGTCCCTTTTTTCACGACGCATCACATTTGTCTATATTCTAAAATTGAAGTTGTGGTTACGACAATAAATTTTTTTCCGTGTATTGTATAATTTAAAAGAGAGTGCGTAACTAATCAGGTTTATTATTAATAAAAAGAAATTCTAAATTTCAATAAGTTTATTGTTTCCTGAAGATAGTATATGGCCAATGCCGGTACTGTATATATATATATATATATGATGTATATACACCTGCCGTTCTGCAATGCACATGTTATCCTTGACATTATTCGGCAACCGTATATATACATTATTAGAATGCGCAACCATTAATAATTTACCGCTCGTCTTGGGGTATGAACATTACTGACTATTTCTACCCAACGGAACACTACCCATCCTTACCCATCAAGAGTATATATATATAAAAATCATGTACATTGGAACTAAAAGAAAGCCAATTTTTTACACTTTAAAAATAAAAAAATATTCCAACTTTCTTTAAAGGAATTTGACGATTTTTAAATTTGCAGCGTGAGATGAGTTTGACAATGTTACTTTTGTCCGGAGCTTTCCCGAGGCGAAATTTGAATCCTCTTTAGCTTCCCTTAGAACCTAAATAGGCCCTCTTTACGATCTTGTAGACTCCCGTAGGCCCTCCTTTGAATCCAAACGTGGAAGAAAGGTAAATTTGCGACTGGTTCAGGAAGCTAAAGAGGGTCTAGTTCGATTAAAAAAGTACAAAAAAATGCAAAAAAAAAAAAACTCTTAATTATTTTGATTAAAGCAAAATGAATTTTTTCTTCACACAATATTTCTTTAATTACCCTTTAAAAACTGGAATTAACATATTTTGAAGCGTTTTCAAAAAATTAATAGAATTAGAGCAATTTCAAAATTTTCAATATTTTAATCAATTTTTAGACCCTACTTTAAATCCAAACGTGGAAGAAAGGGAAATTTGCGACTAGTTGAGGAAGCTAAAGAGGGTCTGTTTAACTCTACTTTACTCCTTGTAAATTAGGGCTTAAATTTCGCCTCGGGAGTAGTGCCACAATAAATTTTTTTTCCGTGTAAGAGTTAAATTTGCAAAAAAAAAAAATTCTTTCAATTATCTGAATATTATTTTTACATCCTCGAATCTGTGCGTTATGGTGAATGATTGAAAGGTGGGAGATGAGATTAAAGCGATCATAGATTCATGGATTCATGAACGGTTCCGGCTAGTGGTGCGCAGTTCCCCTTTTTAGTTCAGTACTTTGTAGACCCCTCATTTTCTCTCCCTTTCTTTCTTTCTTCTTCTTTTTTTTTTTATCGTTTTTCACTTTATCCCTCTCTATCGGCTCATATCCGTGATCGTGTGCGTATACATGTACTCGGTGTACAAAGCGTGCCACGTTCCGACGGACGCGCTTCCTCCGGGTGTCCGCTCCACTGGGCCAAACCAACCGGCCAACCCCAACAAACTCAAACCAGTTGGTCCGACGATCATTGAGATTACACTGACCGACTCGCTTCGTCACTCACTGACGCTCCTCTTTTGATACTCCCCCATTTCTTTTTTTTTTTTCGTTGTTTTTTATTTTAATTGTCACGCCATGTCTGCCTCATTTTGCCTTTTATATCGATCGTCGCGTCTCCAACGCATTTTCATTAGATATTCGTCGATGGGGAGGGGACTATTGAAATAAATCTCTTGATTTAATTCCTTTTCTGGATGTTCTGATAAGAGAAAAAAAGTGGGGAATTCAATTGTTTTTTTTAACAATAAAAACCATAATTGGTTTTTCAAAAAATGTATGTAAAAAAATTCGATGGATATGAAAAAAAAATGACAAATATGTAATTTGGCTTTAGTTTTATACTTAATTTCGTTTTTTAGGGTTTTTTGT